CCGCAGGCCAAACGTGCAATCGGGCATTCGTGATAAAATGATTCATTCCGAAAGAAATTTTACAGTCAATGGGTTGGTATGAGGATCCCGTTTTAATTTCATTGCGAAGGTTTTCAGACACATGTTGTACTTGGAACACTTTTTATTTCTTGCAATCGATATCAATTGAACTACGAGTGTATTTCGCGTAATGCAATTGTTAATATATCGACAATTTACAGATTGTTTCAATTTTTTTGTCAATTTCAAAAAAGAAATACAATAAGATTTTGAGAGACTTTTGTTAATTTTGATTCGCACAGACATTACGGGTTGAATTGATTAATTTTCAGTGTGTCAAGAGGATGTTTCTAGCTTCGAAACTTTTATTCATTTCGCGCAGGTTTTTGAGTAAGAGATTGAATTTAAATTTCGGATCGAATCGAGTGAATAATTCGAGTTGAAATTTAATTCAACGAAGTTGATAGTTTTTTCCTTTTTCTTTTTCCTGTCAATCAAAAGGAATTTAATGAATTGCATTAATGAACAAGTTTGTATCGTTACAAAAATCTGAATCTCTGCCACGAGTTATGATAACACGCCAGGAGAATCAATTACTAATGAATCAAAGAAATGGGAATAATGAAATTTTCAGTGCTTTTACGTTATAATTGGGAGATTATTTTAATTAAATTTCTGTGGTTTCCAATGGAAACGATACTAAGCACTGGCCACATTTGAATATTGAATTACACGAATAATTAATTAAATGAATTTCATTAATGTAAGGGACGAAGATATAATGTTACAAATATAAATGCAAATAATAATAATAATAATAACACGATGATGACAAAAATACCTAATAACACATAACATAAATGTCGCATCTGTCATATTGATGAATCTAAAAGACCAGAAAAAATAATTGTACAAATGCCATAGATCTTCAAATCAACTCGTTGTATTTTATCGCGTCCAAAAAGGGAAATTTCCGAAATTTGAAATATTCAGCTGCGAATAATAAATCCACAAAAGCGAGAATGTATTCCAAGAATGCGTTATTAAAATATTAGCCTGCAAGGAAAATTTCCGAAATTTTCGAAATTGAATTGTTCTCCCACAAATGATAAATCGAAACGATCAGAGATATATCGTAAAAATATCAGTCGCATATTCGTCGTATTTCATCGCGTTTATAAAAAGGGGAACTTCTCGAAATTTAATTATTCTTCTACGAATAATGAATCCACGCAATTATAAAAATATTAGTTTTAGTGGAGGAAAATTTCCAAATCGTACTGTTCTCTTGCGAAAGATAAATCCACAAGATGCAACTCTAACAGAAGAATATGTTGCACAAATATCAGTCTGCAAGGAAACTTTCCAAAGAAAAATAAATTTCCAAAATTTTCCAAATCGTACTGTTCTCTTGCGAAAAATAAATCCACAAGATGCAACTCTAACAGAAGAACATGTTGCACAAATATCAATCTGCAAGGAAACTTTCCAAAAAAAAGGAAATTTCCAAAATTTTCCAAATCGTACTGTTCTCTTGCGAAAGATAAATCCACAAGATGCAACTCTAACAGAAGAACATGTTGCACAAGTATCAGTCTGCAAGGAAACTTTCCAAAGAAAAAGAAATTTCCAAAATTTTCCAAATCGTACTGTTCTCTTGCGAAAAATAAATCCACAAGATGCAACTGTAACAGAAGAACATGTTGCAGAAATATCAGTCTGCAAGGAAACTTTCCAAAATTTTCCAAATCGTACTGTTCTCTTATGAAAAATAAATCCATAAAATACAACTGTAACAGAAGAACATGTTGCAAAAATATCAGTCTGCAAGGAAACTTTCCAAAATTTTCCAAATCGTACTGTTCTCTTACGAAAGATAAATCCACAAGATGCAACTGTAACAGAAGAGCATGTTGCAAAAATATCAGTCTGCAAGGAAACTTTCCAAAATTTTCCAAATCGTACTGTCCTCTTGCGAAAGATAAATCCACAAGATGCAACTGTAACAAAAGAACATGTTGCACAAATATCAGTCTGCAAGGAAACTTTCCAAAGTTTTCAGAATCGAACTGTTACCGCGTAATAAATCGAAAGATATGTTGTACAAATATCAGCCTGTTTAAATCGCCCTGTCACTCGTCGTATCTCGTCGCGTCGACAAAGAAAAGGAAATTTCCGAAAATTTAACATTCTGCACGAGGGGAGGGAATCGCCGGCGGAACGTACACGTAGTATCGAAGATAGTTTGTAGCGTGGCGGGCCCCGCAAAAAGGGAAGAAAACCGAGGGTCTCTGCAGGTGTAACGCCTGCAGCGACCGGGTGATAAAATGCGCGCGGGATGCGAGCGCACGGTCAGCGCATGAAGGAACGGCTCCTCACGATGCCCCGGGCCCGATAAAAAATGCAGCGAGATCACGTTTCGGCAGAGACTTTGGAATCTTCAATCTGGCTGCGCATCCTCTGTCTCTTCTTCGTTCCGGTCGTTTCTTCGATGCGTGACGTGAAGCGCAATGTTGATGGAAAGTAGTATCGGATAGGTGTGTTTCTCTTTATCGAAATTTGTATTTTCTTTTTCGTCTGCATCCGGGAGAGAGAGAGGCAGGTAACGTTTCATTTTCATACAATCAAAATTTTAATTTGTAGTATCATTTGGTGACTCGTTTGATTCGTCGCTTGTTTTGATCAGTTCGTAAGGAGCTGATCGTTGATTGACTGATATCATGGCAGTCGATGTATGTATGTTAATTCTCTGACTCGACGAAAGCAGAGTAAGTGCATATGCTGTTAAAAATGAATTATAACAAAAGGACAAAATTATCGTATTGAACTATAAATATCAATATTTATATTGATTTCATATTGATTATTAATCATTAATATTAATTCTATTATAAATATCAATTTTGTAAATAAAAAATGTTGTAAAATTGTATTATTTCAGAAGTTATATATAATTGCGATTGACACAGAAATTATATATAATTATACAAATTGATTACAATTTTCCTTTTTTCATCCTCCAAAGTACTAAAATTACGTGTTCTTTTTTTCTCAACAGCAAGTGCACATTTGCTATGTAACAAGTATACCCGATTAAAACATCGGAAGAGTTAGACGAATAGGAAAATCACATGCAGTGGGTTCTTTTTTTATAGCGATTGCAAAAGTATCTCAATCCTTTTAGGTTCTGTATTCTTTGAAATTCGTATCTTTAGAATATCGTATTTAACATATGAAATCGCGCCTTGTCGTTCATTTGAATTGCAGAACAAATTAATTCGTCATTAGAATTCCTCAGACGTAATAATTCCTTTGTCTCAGAAATTCTTCGCCACTTTGTTTCCACTAATGATAAATTACATCGTGTCTGAAGCAACCTAGCACTGAAACCGATCTAGCCAACATTCGACTGGTCAATTTTTAATTCTCTGTCAATTTTTAATCTCGCAAAACGTCGGTTAACGAAGAGTCACGTTCGCGTACCAGGTTGCAAGTTACAAATCCGCTCGTGTGCGCAACGTGAACACGACGACGTATGAATGACGCAACAACGAGATTATGCCAGCGAGCGTGTCAACGTTGGGCGAAAGCGAGAACAGCGCAGAGGTGGCATTGTTCTTAATTAAAAGTTAAACTGATAATCGGCGCTGATCTGCTAATGTAAAAACGCGATTATCGGCCGTTAATAATCGAGATCACGGTGTCATTGAAACTAGCAAACAACATTGCCAAGTCCCGTATTCAACGCACACACGGAACGAAAATGCGAACGTTTCATTGATGGCCGAGCAATTACGCTCTCGCGTCGCTTGACAATTGCCATTGTCTCTCAATACCTGAAAATTTCCCACCCTGTTTAAATTCCCTTTCGCGGACACTCGATTTCGTTTCATTTACTCTGTTACTCGCTCGATTCTCGCCAGGATAAATTAAAAGTTTCCTTCCAGTTCACCTCTGGAAAAAGTAGACATATTGATCTTTGATTTCTCTGAAAGGTAGAGATTGATCTTTGCGAAGAAGTTCGTCAGTTTTCTGCTTTTCATTTTGTGGAATCCAAAAATTCCCCGTACCACGAGGAGTCAATTAATTTAACGAGGAAACAGCCTGTAATCCGTAAAACCATTCTCCGAAACGTGTGAATCAATGAGAGAGAACGAGAATCTATATCTAAACGCGGAGAACAGCGAACGCGTTGTATTTTATTCCTAGTCTTTCATTATGAATCATGAACGTTTCAGTCGTAATCTGAATGATCGATCGTCTCGCGAATTCTAGTGAAAAATACACATTCAACGTGCATCTATCTTCCTAAACAATATAACCCCTTGTCTTATAATATCGAGTCATACTTACACGATACTATGGTACAAGGTTATGATCCCGATTTAAAATTAAAAAAATTGCAAATTATGAAATTGAGGTTGAACTTGTGAAACTTCATATTGGAATTTTAAATTTAACTACTTTCGACCACTTGCGCTGGAACGACGTGCCACTCGCGTCGAGAATTTTTTGTAAAAATTGCAATATTCTCTCAGTCTCAAGTATATTTAAGTATAACTCGGGCAGAGCAAACAAATTTATTACTTCTCCAGTAATAATTTCTATCCGGCGATGTCATACCGACGAGTTTCAAAAATGAAAGCGACGAATTATTGCATACGGTTCGGTCACTCGTTATGGTCCGCAGTCAGCTGCCAGCGCAAGTGGTTAAGACGAATTCATTGATAAACGAGAGACATCGTATACGATGTCTCGCCAAGATTTCAAGAAAACTTCGAAGCTTACCTCAGAAAATTGAAAAGAAAGTCGCAAACGCGTTGGAACGCGAGAAAGCGACAGTAATCTCGCGAGAGGGTCGCGTTTATGGCCGCGACACGCCCACAAATCGCGATCGAATCGAATGAAGTCGAACTCAGGAAACGTCGAGCACTCGATAGAAAGGAGCGTATTTCTCTCGGTGGTTTCTCTCGTTCAACACAGTGAATTTCTCTTCGCAGCTGTCGAGAATCCCGAGCCGATGAGATCGAAGCAGCGGGACGCGAACTGAAAACGCGCGGCCGCCGTCGTTTCGAAGGCTACTTAAAACGGCCATTGAGCATTCGTCGGAGTGCTCGAATTACCCACAACAGGTGGCTCGCAAGTAAGTGCCCCCGGTGTGTTCGCACCCTCGCCTGATTTCACGCCATTCACCCTCGCCGCTTCCTCCCCCTTCCCCTCCCCTAGCCTGCTCTCTAAAGCTAATCGTCGCCGCCGTCGATTATGCGTCGACGAAAGTGTCGCGTCTTCTGCGTTCAAGATCGATGCTCGAACCGAGGGAAATTATTTTAACGTAATTTTCTGCCATTCGATGTAACTACACTCGATCATTTTACTTCAGATTTTTATGCGTTTCGGTGCGAACGAATGAGACGTGTAATTGTTGTCCTTGAGCAAAATTTTACGTTCGAGTGTTCGAAATCCCTTCCGATTTGAGAACGTTGAGGCAGTTGAAGGAAGAGGAACCTTGAAGGATGGAATTTTGTTAGTATATGTAGTATACGTAGTATGTGATTCAGTTAGCAAAAAATTTTATTCATTTTTTTCTCGTACGTTGTAATTCTCAGATTATCAAGTTCTATTTTATATCGATTAACGAAGTGAAATTAGAAGTGAAATTTTTAACGCGTTTGTTGTCAACGAATTCGAATGCTAGAAATTTCTCTTGAATTAAAAATGTTGACAAGCAATTGGCAGAACGGAAATCTTGAAAGATATAAAATTTTGTAAAAAGTCCTCTCTTTATTAAAAAATTTTATATACCTTCTCTTGTACATCATAGTTCTTAAATTCCAATTTTCATATTATTCCGTTCCACTCTAGAAATCCAAAATTATACCGTCTTTGAGAAGTGAAATTTTAACGCGTTTTCACGAATTCGAATGCTAGAAATTTTTCCTGAATGGAAAATGTTGACAAGCAATTGAAAGAACGGAAATCTTGAAAGGTATAAAATTTTGTAAAAAGTCTGCCCTTTGCTAAAAAAATTTTATATACCTTCTCTTGTACGTCATAGTTCTTAAATTCCAATTTTCATATTATTCCGTTCCACTCTAGAAATCCAAAATTATACCGTCTTTGAGAAGTGAAATTTTAACGCGTTTTCACGAATTCGAATGCTAGAAATTTCTCCTGAATGAAAAATGTTGACAAGCAATTGAAAGAACGGAAATCTTGAAAGGTATAAAATTTTGTAAAAAGTCCGGCCTTTGCTAAAACAAATTTTATATACCTTCTCTTGTACGTCATAGTTCTTAAATTCCAATCTTCATATTATTCTGTTCTACTCTAGAAATCCGAAATTTTCTTGTCTCAGAAACGATCGATTTGAAAGCCAAATCCAAGTGCAAGATTCCTCTTTCTTCGACACACACACACACACACACACACACACATCCGCAACACTTAAGAATCGTCTAAAAAAAAAAAAACAGAAGAAGAAACAAAACAGAAGACACTGTGGTGCTTAGCCAGACATAATATTGTTGCGCGCAGCTCCGCCAATACGAGCGGAACAACATCGGAAACACCGGGCGGCTTGTGGGAGTGCAGCAAGTGCCTGGACGAGATGCGGCTGATGCAGAGGTTGGCGGTCAGCGGACTGCTGTCCGTGATACTGATCGTCCTCCTCACCGGCACGTTCGTCACGCGTCGCGACCTGGCGAACGCCGTGGAGCGTGGCGTGGCGCCGGAAGAGCGAAACGAGCAGCAACTGAATCCAGCCTGGGTGCAGAACAACATGGTCCCTGGCCAGGACGAGCCGAAACCCGAAGATAAGGATCGCCGGGTGGACTTCAAGCACAGACAGGCAGAGCCATCCGCGGTCGGACCCCCGCCGGTTCCTGTGCCCGGCCCCTACGTCATTAAACCGCCTAATCCACCCCTGGATGACGTGACTAATCAGCGCCGCGAGAAGATCAAAGAGGTAAGCGGCTCTATCCTCTCTGTGTGCGTGTGTACCTCTTTCTCTCTCTCTCTCTCTCTCTCTCTCTGTCTCTCTGTCTCTCTGTCTCGTGTCGTATAACAGATAGCAATCGCAGTTCCGCGATGGTAATTACTGATATACGTTCGAATTGCCTTCGTGGTTTAATGCGATGGGGTAAGAAGTTTTATGGAATTTTTTCCTCTTTTTTTTTTTTTTTGGTGAGGGAAAGGAGAGAGAGAAAGAGAGAGAGAGAGAGAGAAATCGAGGGTAATTTAGGTTGAGAGAGTTGCTTCTGGGTGAGGAGTGAGTTTGCGCGATGAGAGACATCTTTCGGAGTTTGAATCGAGAGGTCTGTCGATCGAAGAAACGGTTCCGAGTGATCAAAATCAGTCAGTTCTCGTTCGTGAAACCAATACGTGACAGTCAGTCAATTGTTGTGGACGGGAGACGCTAATTCGCGTCTTTCGTTTTTCAACATTGCGGACGGGGAACGCTATTTTGCGTTGTAGGGGACACGACCCCCAGGCAAATATAAATTTTTTCAAAAAGTAGGGAAATTGTTTCCTAACATACCATATCGAGAAACGTTACTACAGGTATTTTCATTTTAATTATTAAAATGAAAATGAAAGTAAAATAATACACTTGTTAAACGCTATACATTCTCTTGAACCCTTTCAATCGTATATTAAATAATTCAAAAAATGCGAGGAAATACAGGCTATATGTTTATCAGAGCATACCGTTCTCAATAAGCGTTGCTATAAATATAAAATAAGTAATGGTTGAAATCTAAAATACGTAATAAATAGATTCTTAAACGTTACTATAAAAAATATATAGTAATATTTAAGAATATTTTATGAATGTGAATTAAAGAAGTGCATATATGTATGCATTGTACAAAGTGTCCCTGTTGCTCCAAAAAATGTGCGGGCCCTGGGAGCAGGAGGTTAGGCGCGCCGAGTGCGATATGCAACGTGTTAAATCAGAAGTCTATGTTCACCCCTAATACCTATACACCCACAGTCGAACAGTCGCCAACGTCAGACCGAAGAAAGAGGTTTTCCAGGCAGCGAGGTAAGAGATTACAGGATGAATTTTTCATTAAAATTGCCATTTCCAAGTCGCATTACCATCAGACACATCGTAAGTACGCGGCATGGTAAAGCACCCAAGGAGCATCGAGCTAACGAGTGTAAAAGAGAGAAAGAAAGAGAGAGAGAGAGAGAAAAGTCAGAAAGACAGAGGCAACTTTCTCCTCGTTGAATCTTTCTCTCTTTGTATACGAGTAATTGGATAAAGGTGAGTAATCTCGGTCCTGTATTACGGCTTCTGCTTGTAATACACGTAATTTTTGCAACGATACTCTCTCTCTCTCTCTCTTTCTTTCTCGGCCACCAGTATAACCGAAATTATCCGTCATTTTGTGATCCAGTAATTGAAGCCCTTGGCCCCCGGCTGAAAGCCTTCATCTCGGATGCTGGCAGTGATTTAACGATTACTTAATTCATCCGTGGCTCGAGTTTTTAACGTCGCTCGACGCCACGGCCCTCATTTAAACCCGGCAGAAACCCGGCAATTCGTCGTTCAAACAGAGAATCATCGTCCTAATCGCCGACCATGTACCGTACCTACAATTCGGAACACGTGGCCCGGCGATCGAAGCTCGTCGGTGAAAAAATGGGAAAAAGAAACCATCCAATTGCTCGTTTAAAATAATTTGAAATCGAAAACAACGGACGAACGTCTGTGTCGCAATTAGGGTGTGTTTCTTTACGATCAGTGTGTGTAATTTCTTCACGTGGACGTTTTTGGACAGTTCGGTTGACGTAATTAGTAGACTGCGAATACTTGCGGGGAATTTGAAAAATTGAAATTTGTAAAAATTGCGTGAAATGTCGGAATATTCTAGTATACGTGTATTCTCGTTCAGAAATCTCAGGGCAAGTACACCATATGTTTGTGATAATGAAAATGGTACAATAAATTAGAAATTATATACAGTACATAAACACTGTAATTAAATAGAATAAATATAAACTATACTTTGTACAATGAAAACTCTGTTAATATATTATTATATTATATTATTACATTACAGTATATACATACTATTACATACTATTACATTACATAATAGTATATACATACTATTACATTACAGTATATACAGTATATACATACAAATTAATTTACCTACGTTTAATTTTAAATTTAAATTAAAAAAAATATATATATATAATTAGATACAATAAATGTAAAACATACTTTACACAATAATATTGATATATTCTGTTACTATGTTATTGTATATTGCATTACGTTGTTTATAAAATATGATAGGATTACGATAATCCATGACAAGTAGTGAATCCAAATCCAAGACTATATGATAATCTAAAATAAAAATAGTGAATATTACTTTACGCAATAATATTGACATATTATGTTATTGTATATTGCATTACATTGTTTATAAAATATGGTAGGATTACGACAATCCGTAATATGACAAGTAGCGGATCCAAATCCAAAACTGTACGATAATCTATGATAAAAGCATTGAATATTGAAAATAAAAATGTCCTACGACTTCTGAGCGAGATTGAAATTATAATTTCAGCTGATATAAATCGCGAGGAAAGGTTGGTTAAAATTCAATCTCGTTGTACGTCGAACGAACAACGCGCTGGAAAAATTCGGTGGCTTGTTCAGTTTGCCTGGAAGTTCCGCGACGACGCGTCAAAAAAGGGGCGGAAATTAAAGAGAATCGCAAAGGGAAATCGATGAATCCTTTGTCCCGCGGAGGCTGGCCAATCGCCCGGTCGCGTAGAAAACGGGGCCGCGCGCGGCAAGGGGGTGAAAGAGGGTGAAACGAGGAAGAGACAGCCGGTGAAAATGACGCGGAAAGCCAACCGAGAGAGTGGATTAGTCAAACGTAATTTCACGACCGTTCCAATTTCACGTGCTATTTCGAAAGCGCCGCCGATTATGCATCCCGAATCTCTGAAGAACCGACGACCACTGGCGTCTTCTCACTTGTTAGCCCTCTCGAATTTTAAACATTCGGACATTTATGTAAATCCGCGTGTTTTTTTTTTTTTTTTTTTTTTTTTTTTTTTACGAAAACGCGACTGGAGAGATGAAGCCTGATCGCAGAAGTCTCTGTTGTAACGTAAGATAACGTAGAAGATAAAGTTCGAAAATTCTCAGCTTTTGTCGATGAAATTAGGGACGATTGCCATTCAACAAATTGAATATGAAGTATGAATGACGCGTGAAATTCTCCTGGACATCTTTTAGATGTATGTATCTCTGTGTGTGAATTTATCTTTGGCTTTTTAAACAATTAATCCGATCGTTTGATAACATCTTGAATAATCGATTTTCATAGACATTCTATGAAAATAATCAGGTATTCAAGTATTGTTGTAAATATTATTCTATGCATATTAACGAAAATGATATCAATGTTGGATAGAAAGTCAGTCTTAGAATTCAATCATAATTTTTTAATTAAATTACATCCTTTGAAAAATAGCCGAATATTCGAGTGACTTTCAACAATATTACATATCAAAACAGATTTTAATATTGAGTAGGAAACAAGTAAATTACATTTCCAAACAATACTATACACGTCAAAAAAGATTTCACTATTGAGGAAACAACTAAATTGCATTCTCTGAAAAATAACCAAAAATATTCAAATGAACTTTACACACATCAAAAAAATCTCAATATTGAGTAGGAACTGAATTACTTCTCAAAAATAACGAAATATTCAAATAAACTTCAAACAATACTATACACATCGAAACATGATCACACTGTCGAATAGGAAACAAATTGTACCTTAAAAATAATTCAATATTCGAACTTCACACAATACTGTAAGCACCAGAAAAAAGATCTCAATATTAAGTAGGAAATAACTAAATTACATCTTGTCAAAAATAACAAACTATTCAAACAATATTGTTTGAAACAATGTTATACACATCGAAAAGGATTTTAATGTAGAGTATATATACATAGTATAGAGTGTATATATACCCATGTAGGAAACAACTAAATTACATTCTCTCAAAAATAACGAAATATTCAAATAAACTTCAAACAATACTCTACACATCGAAACATGATCACATTATCGAGTAGGAAACAATTAAATTGTATCGTGTCTTAAAAATAATTCAATATTCGAACGTCACACAATACTATATGCACCAGAAAAAAATCTCAATATTAAGTAGGAAACAACTAAATTACATCTTGTCAAAAATAACAAACTATTCAAACAATATTGTTTGAAACAATGTTATACACATCGAAAAGGATTTCAATGTAGAGTATATATATATATAACAAACTATTCAAATAATGTTGTTTAAAATAATACTATATACATCGAAAAGGATTTTAATGTAGAGTATATATACATAGTATAGAGTGTATATATACCTATGTAGGAAACAACTAAATTACATTCTCTCAAAAATAACGAAATATTCAAATAAACTTCAAACAATACTATACACATCGAAACATGATCACACTATCGAGTAGGAAACAATTAAATTGTATCGTGTCTTAAAAATAATTCAAAATTCGAACTTCACACAATACTATATGCACCAGAAAAAAATCTCAATATTAAGTAGGAAACAACTAAATTACAT